CACACGCACACCGGCCCTGCCCGGACTCGGACCACGACCACGACCAACACCAGCCCTCCAGAGCCAAGCCAACCTGAAAGCTGACACACACTTCTCCACACTCACACTCACACTCACCCCTCCTACACACGTTTTCTTCTTCCTTTCCTACAGTCGACAAATCGGCATCTCCCATCTACCGATGCCACTTCTTTCTTTTATTTATCATTTTCTTTTCATTATTCTCCTCTTTTTGCTCCTTCTCCCACACGAGTCTACCTCTTTTGTCAACCTGTTGCCGTAAATTTGCCTTTTCTATCTTTCTCCAACACCAACCTTCGTAACGGTTGATCTTCGAAGTATGCAGAGTACGAAGACTCATTCATTGCTTCCACGTCTGTACGTATACCTACGCGTCTTTGTTTGTGTGTCTGTGTGTGTGCGTGTGTGTGTGCTTTCTTCTCTTTTACACCTTCTTTTACAGCCCTGACTGCACTGCGACTCCTGGTTGCATGCCCAAATCATATGAAATTGTATCACCATTTCACACCCTTTCTTCCATGCCTCAGTCACGGCCCTTCCGGCACTGTCCGAAGTTGTCGCCAGCCAACCGTTTACTTGACGAGGCGACGTTTGAGTGCACATTTTCCCAATATTCCCACATGTACATAGTCGGCCACACACCGAGCCCGACCAATGAGCCGGAATTATTTTGCTCCCCTTCCTCGCTTGGCCCCTCCGGTGGACTCTCTCACCGTCCGCCTGCCTTTTGCAGACTCCCCACTGTCTCACTCTCTCGTCGTCGTCCTCTCTCTCTCTCTTTCACACACACACACACCCACACACACGCACACACGTCTTCTTTAAGCATACACACATTCTATCCTTCATTCACTGCACCCTCCGAAGCTCAAAGTCTACCAAGGCCGGACGATTGTGTCCAGCGGACGAGACGCCGTCAGCGAGAAAAGGGAAATATTGTCAGGAAATCGGTCCGCTCGAGCCCCGTCACGCTTCGCTGCACATCATCCCGTTGGCCACCAAAAACCGGCGGCCGCCCACTCAGCCTCGCTTCACATGTTAGGACTTGATTGCCTTCGTGCAGACCTTTGATAAATGCAAAAACTGGGGCCAAATAGGCGTATGTCGTACCACCTGATTACCCTATTCACTACATGACTACTTTAATATCTGAGTTTTGAACTCTTATTTATATATTTGATGATTTATTTATTTGATTGTTACTAACTTTGCCAGACAAACCGTCTTGCCGGAGGACTCGTAATTGCAAGAATATCTTCCATAGCCTCACTGGCACGTGGGCACTCGGTAACTGCTGCGGTGAAGATGCTCGTCTCTCGATAAAACGGCAACTGGATTCAGCAGAACCGCAAGAATGGTAGATAGCTAGATGTGTGATTTGTAGACCTCTAGACGAGGCAACAGCATGGCGTCACTGTAGCCACCATGTAAGGCCCGATCCTCCCTTTTCTAGTGTCAGTCAACATTGTCTCGCCCGGCCACATGCACACAAACTGTTTGTGTATAAAATGATCCGTTTGTAAACACTTCATACAATTCGCTGCGGCTGCTGCGGCTGTCTGCTGCAAGCAAGTCACACCTCATTCTCTTTTTCTAGCCTCGCGACTAGATCGCACCGCCACACTTTTCCCTCCCTACTTCTCGCTTTCTTTCTCTGTTTCTGTCTTTTCGTCATCCAGCGTCGCCGGCAACCAGTTCGGCATGCTTTAATCTGTTTAGAAGAGACTGCATGCGAGTAGACACGTCTCCCGAGGCACCACTAGACAGGTTTTTACCCATAACCCACTTTTGGTGTCAGCCACTTAAACAGTCTTAGACTCATTCGCTGTGGAATGGAGAAGATCGGGTCGGGGCAACTGTTTTCACATCTTCGCCACCGACTGCGCAACCTCCACTTTTGTGCTCATATCTTTTACTCATAACATCGATTCACATCACATCACATGAACTCAAATCAAATCACATCGCATCGCATCACATCACATCACATCG